AAATACAAATACTTTGATTGTCTACCATATTTCCAAAAGTATATTTTCTGAGGTTTCTTTACTTGGGGGAACACAGCAACTGAGTTGTTAATGATATTTATATTATGATGGGTATTATTTAACAAATCTAATATATAGGTGCGCAAAAAAGTTATAAATCAACAGTGTAAACGGGAATAGAATATCAGTACATATAAGTGACTTAATGTATCTAGTCATAATGGAAACAATATCCCTATTTGCAAGTGTCACCAATAACACTGATATATAGAGATGTCGCGAACCGTTCGCGAACTTCCCACGAACGGCTCGCCACGGTTCGCCACGAACCATTCGCGGCAAGCTCCGGTCAACTGACACATCCCGGCCAATCTCCAGCAGACCTTCCCTCCCAGACCCTCCCACCTCCTGGACAGCATCCATGTTGAAGCTGCCTTCAACATGGATGCTGTCCAGGAGGTGGGAGGGTCTGGGAGGGACGGTCTGCTGGAGATTGGCCGGGATGTGTCAGCTGACCGGAGCTCGCCGTGAACGGTTTGTGGCGAACCGTGGCGAGCCGTTTGCTGGAAGTTCGCGAACGGTTCGCGACATCACTACTGATATATAGTAAATAATACAAAATATACTTGCACAAATATTGGATGGATGTTCTTAATAATCTAAAACACAAAACAGAAGGAAAATCTAGTACAGCATTGTGATACGCAACTTAGTACATATATAAATATGTATATATAAAAACTTATAGGAAATAAGTACCACTCCAAACTATCAAGCCTAGGGAGGATTGAACCCTTGTATACATTGGATCTATACAAAGGTATGAAGCGGACTCACCACCAGCTGGACATAAAATCTAAATTTTATTCTACTTTAAAAAACAATTAAAAAGCAAGGAAGTCTGGCTCACAGTATTGCTGAATAGAGAGTCTCTGGCTACATAGGATGCCACTCGAGTGCGCTCTCTCTCCACTGCACCCACCAGCAAATCTCCAGCTTCACCAAGCTGTGTCCTGAAATTCACTTCCGTGTTCAACACGCATGCTACGTGTTTCGCCCTGCCTCTCTGGGCTTTCTCTAGCGTATGTTGAGTCCTCCTGCTCTGCTCCTTCTTATAGCCTATCAGTCCAAAGTTATATCACTTGTGGAGGAATAGTCAATATAAAAGTCCCAATTATAAAATTAAATGAATGGAGATGTAATTTAAACTGTGTCATTAGGAAAATAAATCATATGAAAATAAAAATAAAAACAGGATAGCTTGATAAAAAGATCAACTTAACTTATATGAGGCAAATCTCCTAAATCACTCAAAAAATCTTAATTATTATACTAAAAATACATGAACAGGGCGGAGCCTAGCCGCAGCAGACAGCAGTCGCACTAACCCGGAGCTCCTGGACCCAAACGGAGAAAAACGGGATAAAACACCTACACGGAGCACCCCCCAAAACGAAAACACGACTCCATACGTATCCCCAACGACATGGGACGCAAATCGAAGAAAATCAGTGCAGACAAAGCCACCCCCGGGCTCACAATAGGGGACATGTGGAGACAAGCGCGTGGCGCCGGTGGGTCCAACATGGTGGCGCTCCACGGAGGCTGCTCGGACTTCTCCGACGACCTGTCGGGGGAAGAATACGCACCGGCGCCAGCACCAGGAATACCCCCACAGCCTAATAGGCCCACAACGGACTCCACTCCGCTAACTACGTCGATCCTGAAGCAACTGCTCGCAGACCTTCAATCTAGCTTGCAACAGGATATAATGGCGCTAAGGGGAGACCTGAAAGGCCTGACAACCCGTATAGTCACCCTCGAACACACTTCCACAAAGAATACCGGAGACATCGGGGAGCTCCGAAAGACCGTGAGCGACCTACAACTGCTACAGCGGAACACGGAGCACCGTATGGTGGAACAGGAGGATGCTAGGCGGCGCAACAATATTAAACTGAGGGGGATCTCTGAGGCAATACCCACAGCGGCATTACCACAACTTATTAAGCGCCTGATCTCGAGCATACTGCCGCATACCCAAGCTGACAAAATAGGCCCCGAACATATCTTCCGGATCCCCATCTCACCTAAAGCACCAACTCCAGCCTCCAGAGATGTAATCTTGGCCTTCCGCACAAGACAGGACAAGACGACAATCCTCACCGCATTGCGGTGCAAACCACCACTCCAATTTGAAGGTATGACACTATCATTCTTTGCGGACCTATCGAGCGACACCCTAGCGTGGCGGCGCTCCTTCAGGCCACTCACCACGCTCCTCCGACAACGAGACCTCCAATATCGTTGGCAGCCTGCCCACACACTCACCATTCACCAGGGAACAGACTCCCATCGGATCCGCGATATGAGCGAAGCAGCACAGCTACTGCAGGCCTTATACCTACCACGGGACGCTCTTACACCGTCTAACTGCCAGAGCACACCCTCCCCGACTCTCACCTGGGACCCGTCCCGAACAACCCCATTCATACCGCAGGGATTAACGCCCGACCCCTATGCGACAGTCACCACATGAACGGAAGATGGCGACATCGCATCCAACTCGGGACTCAGTGACCACCATCTCAAGGCCACACAACCCACCTACCACAGGCCTTATTAATGTTTAATGTTTATAAGCATTCCACTTTGTTTTTATATGTATAATGTTCACGTTCACCTTGCATGCAGCCTTCTCAGGTCTAACGGCCTGTTGATTGCGGCCACGGCCCTGCCGAGACACATGCCACCTGTTGCTCAACCCACAATGAGCACTAACTATAATTTTAATTTTATTATAATTTTACTCTATGTTTATCTTATACTTCGCAACTCGACAGTATGCTTTACGCTACGCATCATATGCTCGCACTTAGTAACTTGCTTGCTATTCCCGCAATGTCTTAGATAAACCACAGATACTTACTTGGCTACTAGTGCCTAATGTGAAAAGAATTGTAGGAACACAGCTCAAACTAATAGTGATTGTGCGCACATGTATATGTTAGCCGACTGACCCAGCGACTCACTGCCCCCTGATGGATAACTTCAATAAGCTAGAGAAACCTGTATCTGATATCATTTTTTTTTTGCATAAGCCCGTAACTAAATAGTTATATAACCACTGCTCACCTAAGCATGCATAGAATAGCTATAAAAGTTTTACTCAATAGCACTAAGCTTGTTATACTGATTTAGTCTGCATGATATATAATCTAAAAAATTGTGCAACGCATGCGAATGCCATAACCATGTATATCTTGTTATCTCTCTGTTTGCTGCAGCTGTTGTGGCGCATCAAGCAATGTTACCTCTTTGCACGCAATAAATAAAGAATAATAAAAAAATAAAAAATACATGAACAATTATAACCACACCTTACCCATGACTTAAAAAACGCTCATAAGAGCATAAGGAATATTATAAGAACCTTAAAAAAATATTATATAATATTTCCAACACATGGTGTGGATCACCTAAATCACTCAGGTAACATAAAAATTAAAGTAGATTCACAATTTATTTATACTAACTACAGCATAACCATAGCATAAAGGCCCTGCCTGAAAATAGAGCATATATAGTATTTTGGAAAAAAATAAAGAATATATTTTAAAATGCTATATTAAATGCACATAGGGTGGATCGCCTAAATCATTATAAAAAAATTATATTAGTGTCTAGGTGTCAAAAACCCAAAATCGGTCTTAAACTGAATCCAGATGAGCAGAACAAATCCAAATAAAAATATATTAAAGGGGAAGACACTATAAAAAAATTAAATAAGTCAAAATCAATATTTAAACCTAAAGGGGCTGAGATATGTAAATAAAAGACCCACTTCATCTTTTCCTGACCAATTTTCTTGATCAAGTCCCCCCTCTCCAGTCTTTGGAGTCCTTTTTAATGCCTTTAATTTCCAAGCTGCGCAGAATTTGGTTTTGTACTTTTTTTAAATGATCCGACACATTCTGATCTCTCAACACCTTTTCTTATGTTGTATAGATGTTCACGTATTCTGATATTTAAGTGGCGTGTCATTCTGCCTATATACCGTAACTTGCAGGGAAATTGCAAATGATAGATTTGTTTGTTCTGGGAATCTTTCTATCAGGATTCAATATAGGTTGTTGCATATGTTTGATTACTACACTTTTTTTGGGTGGTGTTACTTGTACTTTATTAAGTTATTTTTGCGCCACTTTTATTCAGTATGGGATTATTGACTTGTTTTTTAACAGTTCATTTATATACAGCGCTCCCATCCAAAGTTCTTTATAGAATTTAGCAAAGAATCATAGATAAGCTTAACGAGACAGCAGAGCAGGGTTTTATATATATATATATTTGTATATATATATATATATATATATATATATATATATATATATATATATATATATATATATATATATACATATATATATATATATATAAGAAAACCGATGCTTGCACTCCTGGATTAGAGAGTAATTGCCCGGTGCTGGTCAGGCACAAGATACAAAAATATGATTGGAAATGACCGCACTCCAAGGACTTGTTGATAGTAAAAATAAAATATAACTTTTATTCTATATCATATAAAAATATCGACGTTTCAGCCCCAATACATGGGCTTTCATCAGGATGGCAATACATGTATGCTTCTCTCCAGTTTCACTGAATCATTGGGGTGTTCCTAAAGGTATAGTAAGTGATGGGGCTGAGCAAGCTACAGGGCTTTGTTGTGTTGCCTTTGATGAATTTGGCTCAGTCATGCCTTCCCTGTCACTAACACATGCTCAGAATGGGAGCTGTCCGCAGACAGAGTGCTGAAACACAGGTTTTGGCACAGACTGTCAGCTTGGCTCCAGCACGGAGAGCGTTATCCCTCCTCTCACCTAGTGAACGCATTATCCCATTAGCCAGCTGCTGAGGGCGCTACTTGTCTCCTCGCTACAATCAGAGCTGGTCAGGGGGCTGTGTGATAGTGGCGAGCTCAGGCTGGCTAGGGATTTGTACGACCCGCTGGACAGAGAGTGAAAACCCGATCTCAGGACCAAGGAGATGTCTAGGATATGAGCCTGGACTCTGTTACACCGCTCATTGGGAGTCACAGCCTTACAACGTGCCAAAGACTTCACTGATGCAACTACTCTCTCTCCTCCGAGTGCAGCTTCCTAAACTTCTGGCTATTCCGTGACTGGAGCATGAGGCAGAGTTATCATCGTGAGTGTTCTATTCCAGAGTTTCTTTATTCTTCTATGTTCGATGTGAACATGATCGGTTGTGTGTGTGTGTGTGTGTGTGTGTGTGTGTGTAAGAAATCTAATGATAATGAATGTGCCTTAAGTGAAAAGACTGATTTTCGTGGTGATCGCAATTAGGAAAGCATAAGATAGAAATGGCAGAGCTTCACTTTAATCTATCGGCCATACGGCTGACCTGCCCCAACTTATCACAAAGAAAGATCAACGATGTTTAAAGAGATAAGACTGTCTGTCAGTGTGCACGTGGATAAAAGTAAACAAGCACCTCAAGTGGTCAAATACTTAATTAGAACTGTGTGTGTGTGTATATATTTATACACACATACACACATACACACACACACACAAATAAATATGTATTCACATATTGGTAGATACACGTGACACTGAATATCTGTACAAGTTGTCTACCTCTTGTAGTGTTACCTTAGTGCTGAGAGGGGATTGGCCAGTTGTTGCTTTATATACCCCAAACATACCACTATCCTCTCTTACCCAGGGTTTCACTGTAGCATATATCCAATTAATACTTCAAGTAATTATGAAATGTACAAAGGTGCGATAATCTGGATCCCTTTCAGTCCAGTGACAGAAATGTATCAATGTCATTGTTAAAACCTTTGCATTCAATGTGACAGATACTTTACATGTTTGTGTAGAAAACAAGGACTATAGATATCTCCATCTCATCACAGTTTAGTACAACAACCTACTTCTCTAGGTTCTAGGAGCTAAAACATAGTATCTGGCACTGACTTGGTTAAAATAAAAATCAACAGTTTAGTTTTGCCAAGCATCATAATTGATGGCCTTTAATGTTGATGTTTTGAGCGTAGAGCGTAAAACACATATATCCTTTTATTTCTAGACCTCTTTTTATTGAATTCATAAAGCATATCACGTTTCAAGCCATAGATACTGGCTGGAATAGACCTGTCTCTGGGGTTTACATTTAGTGATAGCTGGAAAGCAGTCAGTGATAGTAGGGCTGATACCTTGCTATGACTCTCCTACCCCCTTTGTATTCCTGTCAGCTGGGAGGAAGTGTACACTGGATTACAGAGCACTGTGTTATCTCCAACCCAGGGGTTGAAATGATTTCACAAACATGCATACATATGGAAATCAGGAGAAGCGTATTGCTACTGCATATAGAAAAACAAATACAAATCAAGTATGACATTTTCATTTTTGAATCTCTTAAAACACAAACATGAATTCTCATATTTTTTTCTGTATTTGTGTTTTGGCTTCACAGCTTGATTAATACAGAAAGCGAGACCTGTAGCCGCCTGTTTTCTCTGGCTGAGTGAGGGGTGTAACGCAGATCAAGGTTCTGTTGTCCTTAGACTTGGTTTAAAGGGAAGGATTTAATGGTGTGAATATGGTTTGTTATGGTAACTGATTTTGTGACACATACACACAGCTACTGATGTTTTCTAAATCACAAGACACACAGAGATGACAAATGGGCCCACCTTACACAGGCTGCCTCCCTCGCTTGTCAGTGAAGTGAATTTTAATATCTAGAATATATAAACAAAACGCATATTTATATAACTATTTATGTGTCTGCCTGCTAAGGTGTTCAGATCTCTGCTTGAATTTGGAACACATAGAAACATACATACTTAGAGCCCTGAAGCATGAATTTTCATATGCACTACTAATTTAGATTATAGTTGGACCACGCAGATACTGACAAATTATTAAAATGACAATCTTTATTACATATTGTATAATATTCAAACTTATATTTATTTTAGAGGTGTTTAAGCTAAATATCACGTTAATGCAGTGTTGGCTTTATGGGCCTGGAGTTGAAATGACACTGGGCCTAACTACTACATTTTAACCCCTTAAGGACCAAACTTCTGGAATAAAAGGGAATCATGACATGTCAATGTGTCCTTAAGGGGTTAATTTGTGTTTCTGGTGTCTTGTGTTTAGATGAGAATGTTTCTGACCTCTGTCTGCAACTAGACTTTAATCTGACTCTAGTTTACAGCTTAGAAAACAAAAGACCAGAACAGCGTTAGTAAATTTGGAAATCACAAGCAGTGCAAGTTTTCATTAAAACGTCCCACAATTTTATCATTGCACATGTTTTAGCTTTGGCCTCTGTAATGGCGAGTGTGTACACAGATTAATTACAGCCAGACTCTGGTGTAACTACTAAATCCACAAAGCAGTCTTTAATGAATCCGCTGTTAGTTTAATAAAACGTAATGAAATTTCAGCAAGCAGAGTATTGTGGCTGTTGCAGAATTTTAAACAATTATTTATACGGCACCAATATATTCTGCAGCATTGTACAGCAGGAAACAAGACAAACAAGTTTTAACACAACATGTATGACTTACAGGAACAGAAGGTGAAGAATACACATGGTGAGCTATACACAGGTGTCATTAGAGATTATGATGTAATGTTCTGCTTAAAATATCAAGTATTTTACCAAGGTATTATTGGAAGAATACAGTGAAGAATTCCTCTAAGAGATAATAATACATATTAGAATAGATTTTTCTACTTTTGTACCAGTGTTTGCCTCCCGTATACCTTAGGTTTTCATACAGAGTTTTATACTGTAGGCTCAGCAATTAATCTTTATTAACTTTTTGTCAGGATAGACCCAGAGTGGCTAAGTAAAACTTTATATAATGTAAACTCTTATAAATATACGTATTACGGGGCTTAGTGTGGCCAGACTTAACGTAAATAAAGCATGATGAGGAACAAGCCGAGGTCAGGGGTACAGAATGAGACAGTATAGAGTAGACAAGCCAATACATCAAAGATACCAGAAATAAGAATAGTCAAGAACAAGCCAAAGTCAAAATGGCAAATAGAAACACAAGATAAACACACGACAGGGCACTTCCAACAGGCACTTTTAAGTTAGGGTTGGTCAGAATTGAACTTGTGAAATTAAAACGTGGGTGGGCATTGATGATGCGATGATGCATACACGTTCGTGTAATTTTCATCATGCCCGGAGTGTGACTATATAGCCTTGTGATTTTGCTGCGGCCAGCATCCGTCCAAATGAAATTTCAGTTATTTGCTAATACAACACAGTCATTACCATGGGACATCTTTATATATTTAGCAGTCGTTTTTATTTTTATAGTGTGATTTATGCATCATTTTCTTCTAAATTACTACTTTCATTTGTATTTGTTAATTTTTTTATTAGTGATATTGCAGAAGGTCTTGATGGTAAGGTATGCCTTTTTGCTGATGATACTAAGATATGTAACAGGGTTGATGTTCCAGGAGGGATAAGCCAAATGACAAATGATTTAGGTAAACTAGAAAAATTGTCAGAATCATGGCAACTGACATTTAATGTGGATAAGTGCAAGATAATGCATCTTGGATGTAAAAACCTAAGGGCAGAGTACAGAATATTTGATAGAGTCCTAACCTCAACAATTGAGGAAAGGGATTTAGGGGTGATTATTTCTGATGACTTAAAGGTAGGCAGACAATGTAATAGAGCAGCAGGAAATGCCAGCAGAATGCTTGGTTGTATAGGGAGAGGTATTAGCAGTAGAAAGAGGGAAGTGCTCATGCCATTGTACAGAACACTGGTGAGACCTCACTTGGAGAATTGTACACAGTACTGGAGACCGTATCTTCAGAAGGATATTGATACCTTAGAGAGGGTTCAGAGAAGGGCTACTAAACTGGTTCATGGATTGCGGGATAAAACTTACCAGGAAAGGTTAAAGGATCTTAACATGTATAGCTTGGAGGAAAGACGAGACAGGGGGGATATGATAGAAACATTTAAATATATAAAGGGAATCAACACAGTAAAGGAGGAGACTATATTTAAAAGAAGAAAAACTACCACAACAAGAGGACATAGTCTTAAATTAGAGGGACAAAGGTTTAAAAATAATACCAGGAAGTATTACTTTACTGAGAGGGTAGTGGATGCATGGAATAGCCTTCCAGCTGAAGTGGTAGAGGTTAACACAGTAAAGGAGTTTAAGCATGCGTGGGATAGGCATAAGGCTATCCTAACTATAAGATAAGGCTAGGGACTAATGAAAGTATTTAGAAAATTTGGCAGACTAGATGGGCCGAATGGTTCTTATCTGCCATCACATTCTATGTTTCTATGTTTCTTTATGCATGTTTAAAGCAGATTATTGCAGTATAGTGGACCTGTACATATGTTAGCAATGTGTATTTGCACTTTATTTGCATTAAGTTAATAAACACTGTAAACTATATCAAACATAAAACATGTGAAACGTAACATGCGTGAACAAAACAAGCACTGCATATGCCTTGTGGTATTTAATGGAAAAAAAATCCTGCTTGCTTAATTAAAGTTCATGTTATTTTAGGTCTGTTTGCGTTTAAAGTTGAATAAAGCAAATTGTGGAGATATTCCATCTGACACCTTCCCCTCCTTCTTCTGTGTATGCAGCCATTTGATGGAATTTGAGATGGAATCATATTATATCCAGCCTAAAATCACTCTCACCTTGCCTTGGCTGCTGTGTGTTCACAAAATTGTGAGGTCACCTGTGTTTGCCAAGAAGCCAGATTACAGGAGAAGAATGTAATAATAATATCACTATATTACTCTGATCATAATAAGAAAGCTGCTCAGCTGTATACTGCACACTCAACTAAGAGTGATCTTGGGTCAGGTAATAGCTGATTCCAACCAAAGTTCACTCAGAATTTCTGCACACACTATGCAAACAAGAGGGCTGGCAGATGGAATAATGCCACAATTGTTGCCCATAGCAGGGGCATGTCAGCTTTGTGTGAATGCATGCAATCATTTTGGCAAGCCCCAGTAAGGGTAGACCATGCACAGAGTTATGTTACAGCTCCCTGCTCATGGTCCTAGTGCCCCTAGCGAAGAACAAATGCATCTAATGATTCACTTGTGGTATGTTTCTGGGGACAGTTCCATGTTGTGACACTCCATACCAAGGAACAAACCCAGGATATTAGACAGGAGCCCAAAATGGCTTCTGTTTGACTGGTTTCAGTACACTTGGTAGGCCTATTAATGAAGTTGTGTTGGTATAAAGATCCTGTCCCTGCAGTCTCACTGCTCAGTTGGGTTAAATCACTTTGTTTATGCTGCCCTAGCCACACCTTTTCACACAGCTACACTGCCATACAGCCTCCCTACACACTTCCTGACGAATGGGTATAGTTTTTAATTGTCCCCTTTATGCAGAGAATTAAGTAGTGGCACTACAAAGGCACAATCTATACATCAAACCTGCTTTATTAAGCAAAAGCTCTTTTGGTAAAAGAGCTTTCCTGTAAAGGAACACTCAACACTCAAGCACCCTGTAGTGGTTAAAGATTCCTGGAGTGCCCTGGTGCCCTACCAATGTAAATACTCAACCATTTGCTACAAGTTTTGGCAACTTTTCTGGAGTCTGCAGAATGAAAGAATAGCATACACATCATTGAAACAGAGCAATAAGTGAGTTTTGGGATTTTACCATAACTTATGTTTTGAGTCCAGATTTGATACGGGATTCCGTCTGATAATGGCTACATTACAAAATAGCAATCTATAAATGAAGTCTGCGACGCAGAGCTGGGCTCAGAATCCAGACAGATCAGAACCTGAAGGGTTGTGCTGAAAATGCTGTCAGAAACCATTGAGGAAGGACATGGTAGTTTGGATATCGAAGCCAGGCTAAGAAACCATGCTATTAGAGTAATGGTACTGGTCAGATCACTTGATATAATCAAAGACACAGGCCGCAAAGAACAATGCACACTAGAGGACTTAATAATCAAGCAGCTGGGAGTTCTCGTGAAAAGTTAAGCACAATAGGCTGAAGCAATTCATTAGAAAACAAAGAACTGGAATGACATCACACATTAAGCTTACTGAGCAAAGTAAACCATATTGAGTAATATTAAAGCTTACATGGGACACATTCTGACATCCAGGCTTTAATTGCCAATTGTTTCACAAGAAAACATTAAAAAGCAGTGGAACAAGACAATATAAACTTCACAAGTGCCTTTTAACAGTCTTTTTCCAGCATTTAAAGTACTGAAACTTTCATCATATTCTTCCAATTGCACCATCCGATATGAGAAGATACAAACAATATTACCTAAATACAAACATAAAGTTCTTAACAAAGAGTTCGAGTTTAGCAGCATTATTAATATTTTTTTAAGTAGTACTATGTGTACAACATAGCGGGGTTAAAATAACATTGGTGGTTAAAGGGACACTATAGTCACCAGAACAACTAAAGCTTAATGTAGTTATTCCGGAGAGTATAGCGC